TTGTATATATATCAATTTGAATTTGGAATTTCCATGGTGCAATACATTCATTGCGGCCGAAATATTGGGTTTACGTCATAAGCCAAAAGTTTTAACCTCTTCTTCATAAACTTCACAAATAAGGATGCGTAAGATTGATTCCTGATTGATCAACTGAGAAATATTAGTAATACTGGTTGCTGGTTTGCAAGAAATTGCAAGAATTTTGATTGTTTAACTAAGTCCATTGGTGCAGGCGCACAGTGCATGCCGAAAGTATACGCACTGTGTGCTGCTCTATTGCAGTTTGTTTGAAATCAAGATGTGATGCAGTTGTATGCACCACGGCTTAAACTTCATACACCTCCTCATCTCTCCTCTCTTCTGTCTGATTCTTCCTACGCCAAATAAGTGATAAAAATTTTACTTCCAAATGGTTTGATTTTTGTTTCTTGGTGTTTCGATTTCGGGCCAAAAAGTTTTTGGAAATTTTGAGAATCGCGCTTGCTACTAAAAAAACGCAATTGTTTTGTTTTATTTTTTTTTTTGGAAATATTTCATCGTTTAAATAGATTTTTCGTTTCATTTTCATTTTCATGTATACCAAAACTGCAAATTTCTGTGTTTCTTTTATATTTTACTTCGTCGTTTCTGTCTTGTGATCAGATGTTTTCCAAACCAAGGATGTTTAACTAACTTATGATTACTTTGAAGTTGAAGTTACGAATAGATTTGCTTTGATTTACCATGGAGTATGTACCCTACGTGTAAGTTTGACTGATTTGCTTCAGTGTTTTGTGCGTGTGTGGGCTTGCCAAAGGGGATCTGCTTGATATATATACCGATTTGGGTTTGGCACATGTCCTATCTCAATCCCCTCCTCCTTCCTTCAAACGGAAATCGTAATGCGCGCATTTTCAATGCAGTAAGGCTGTGAGTGAATATTTGCCTGGCAAATGGACAGGGGCTTTGAATGGGGGCGGTTTTCTTTGTTGGGCGGGGTCGCTTATGCTTAGACTGTAGTAATATTTTAATTACGTGTATGTAGTTGTATTTAAATGTCGCTATGTACAAATCTGATCAATTTCTGTTATCGGTTTTGGTTTTTTCGTTCAGTAATCAGTAATCGGTAAGTTTGGGTATTTTTTTTCTTTTTGGTTTGCTTGGTATTCTGCGGTATTAATGCTTTTAAAATCTAGTTAAAATTGCATATGGCTGCGTCTGCTTTTATATTTGGTAATTGGTTTACGTGTAGTAGGTATATACTTATCTCGCCTTCCATCTCGTTCTCGCTTCCATCGTCTGCCTCGATCATTTGATCGATACGTTATCGTTATCGGTTTGCGTGCAGTGTTCATTTATGGTTTAAGTTTCGTTTTGCTGTGCTGTGAATTCATATTTTTTTGCTGCTGACCAACGCTGGTCGTAACACGGGTCGCTGATTGGTTGCTTTTGGCCGGATGTCCATTTCCGTTGTCGTTTTGTAGATTCCTGTCTGGTTATCTTCTGCTTTAGCTGCTGCTGTACTTAATCTATATGCTTAGGCTAACTTAGGTTCCTGGGTGTAAACTGTACCTGGCGAACCGCGGCCTCAGCAGCTTGGCCAAAAAACGAGAAAGGAACTTTCTTTGGCCTATGGCTGATCTGTAATCATTTTTCTTTTGGAATTTTTCCAATACCGAAAGGTTGCTTTGGAGAAACTAAACTCGCTTTCCGTGGGCTTCTCGAAAAGGGCGGGCCGAAGTTTGGTGGGCGTGGCTGAAGGCTGGCACAACTGTTAGCCGCGTCCGCCAGGTGTCGCATTCGCTTGGTTTGCGTAGCTCGAATAAGATGAATTATGGAGAATTTAGCTTACCCTTCTCGCGCTCCACCGATCAGTTGAGGTTGTTTTCGTGGCTGTGATGGTTGGGGGGTTAGAGTGAGGTGGTGTGTGATGGTGGTGGTGGTGTTGTGATTGCCAATCAGTTCCAATTTTGCGGTGACAAATGCCAAAAATGCTTCTGACGGAGGTCGGTTGGTTGGTTTTTGGGGGATATTCAAACCAAAAATTGGGTGGTTTATAAGCGGCCAAAAGGTGGGGGTTTCAAATTTTGGTAAAGAAAAATCCAAGCGCCGTCAATAGTGTTTTTCTGTTTTTTCAATTAATTTCGCTTTTATTAACCAATTATCGTTCGGAACGGACCCTTTGCGGTCCGCCCTCTTGACTTGTTGACTTAAGTTTAAGTATGTATGTTTATGTTAGTATAAATGTATGAAATATGTATGTTGCATTAAATATACGCAAGTGTAAGTGTGCTCCTGTGTCATTTGTTGGTACGCAAGTATATCGGTTCATTCGCCTTCCTTGAGGTAAAGTAAGAAAGCGCTGATTAAAACTGATTGAAACTGAATAGAACAGAAAGGTTTTGAGTGCTTAATTTTTCGTATTTCTTTTCATTAATTATTGCTGTTAACTTCCTGAATTTCGACGGTCTAGATACGGCTGCTCATCGTTATTTTCGAATTTTGCTTAAAGATAAAATTTCGCCTAAAAGTTTTGTTAGCCAAACGTTTATTGTTAATACGCCTTAAATTGCCTAAATGGTTTTCGTCTCTCAATTTCGCTCGTCTCGCAATTGTCAATTAACTATTTTTACATCAATCAATAATTTCGTATGGAGGTCTTTGGACGCAAAGGCCTCCATATTGGTTTTATCCGAAACAATAATGAAGTTAGTTCGATTTTTAGTTTGTTGTTAGTTACTTTTTTTTTTTTCTATCACAAAATCAGTTACAATTGTATTTAGATAATTTTCATTTTGAATTTCATTTTCGAATTTCTTTTCAAATTTCATTTTTAAATTTCAACTTCATTGCCAAAAGCCGCTTCCTTCGTAAATTTTGTAAAGGCATTAACAATCAACGCGTCACTCGTGGGGTCCTAATATCGGACTTGAATTTCGACTTCTGTCTACTGTGAAGGTGGGGGTGAAACTTAGTGGTAAGTTAACTCAACTGGGTAATGCGATAAACTTAAACTTCAGTTCGATTAGCGAATGCCTCTGCCTGCCTCATCACTGCTTTGTACGATTCCCTAAATACTAATTTCGCAAATGCATTTTATTTTCATTTTCAATTATCCAAACTTGAATTTCACTTTGAATTTCGATTCGAAGAACTCAAGTTTCTTTCACTCGATTTCTCTCGCTATTGGATTAGGAAACTCACCGTCTTATACGCGACTAATTTTTCTCATAGTTACGCCAAAGTGCAATCAAATTTTGCTCAGATTCCCCCCATGGGAAACCATGGTTAAGCCTAAAAAAACTCGCTTAGTTCGTTTCAATTTAGTTTTAGCTAAAATTCAACTATTGTTCAATAATTTTGTGATCATTGGTGTGGCCGAAAGGTTTGCTGGGGTGCGATCTCTTCTTCTCCTTATAGCGGTGTTTCCATCCAATTTCATCTTATCTAAACTTCCACCAGAGGGCGCTAGGGTGCGGGGCTGACTAACTTAGTAACTGACTGACTGACTAACTAACTGGCTGGCTGGCTGATGGAGCTCCTCGGAGCAATTGTTGGGCCGAAATATTCGATTTCGCTTCGTTCGTTTCGTTCGAGGAATATGGATTTTGTCTGTGCCAAATATTCAAATGTTTTGCATGCAGTTGATGATGTTGTTGCTGTTGTCGCGTTGCAGTTGCAATTGGAGATGAGATATTGCAGCTGCAGGAACAACAGGGTTTGCCCGCCCCTGGCCCAAAGAATTCGCCGGACGGAGAGCAGGCAAACATATCCCTCTAAACCCGCCCACTTTCCATGCTTTGTCTGCTGTGCTGATGAGTGAGAAGTGCATGATCGATCTCAGCCAGCCAGAGATCAAGGATTATAATAATATATATATATATATATACATATATGAAATCAAGAATAAGAACAAACGATATATTTTTAATTGGTATTTTTTGGTGTTTTGTGTATATTTTGTTTTGTTGCAACTCAAGGCCAAGTAAAGTAAATTAATTAAACTAAACTTTAACTTAAACTAAACGTATAAATTATTTACATAAATAACAGACTAGTGTGTGTGGGTGTGTGTGTGTATTTGTGGTGTTGTGTTTTAGTGTATATGTCGATTATTCTATAAAATTAAGATGCGTGCTCAAAAGTGGGGCACTAAAGTAAAAGAATTGATTAAAAATAAACCGTATTCAAGGGATTCATGTTAACAATTAACTTTGGTCGAAGGTTCGCATAACGTATTGTAAATGATAAATTCATAAATTTAACTACCCTAACGCCCACTGTTCGTACAAATAACTCTGACTCTCTCTCATTAAAAATTTAAATAGTTTTCGCAATTTCTTAACTTTTTTTTATGATTTTTTGCTTTTAGTTTTTCTTAATAGACATCGAATATATGCTTAGCGCTTAAAGGAGGAATATAGGGGATATAGCAACCTTAGCTTTCGTGTGACTTTTAAACTTTTATAAGATTAATTCCCGATTTCCGGCCGTCAGAGCTGCACCTGCTTTTGTAAAGCAGTGCGCAACTGGGCGGGGAAAACTGCTTACCGGAAACTCGGTCAGCCAAACAGAGATTTTGAAAAATCACTTCCTGCTTGGCCAAGCGACTTTCGCTCTCTCAAATGAACACACACTTTGTACCGATGTGAGAGTGTGTGTGTGTGTGTGTGCATGGAATGCGTGTGGTTTTTGTGTGGAATGTGTGTCAACTTTCGGTAGATCATTAGACGGTTCAACTATTTCTTTAAATATTCATACGTATACGTAATCTGCTGTAAATATTTTCAAAAAAATTTCAACTAACAAACCAACGGCGAGTACAGTTTACACTGCCTGTAAATTACGCTCGGTGTGTGGGTGTTTTTCAGGTGTGTGGCTCAGGTTTTCATTCAATTTGCACTATTTCACATTATTAGATTAAGACTTGCTGCTCTATGTTTAGTTCTTTTTTGGTTTTGATCAATTGGCACCGGGAGATTAGGATCTCCCTGGTCCACTTTCTTCATATTCTGGTCGCTTCTGTTTGCTGAGGTTCACGTAAAATGTTTTCTGTGTGTATATATGTGTAGGTTTTGTGGTTTTGGAAATTTTTGAAAAAATATTTTGCTCAGTGTGTTTTCTAAACGCGTTTTCGACTCGTGTGTTTCTGCAAATCTCTCAGCTATATCTAAGTTCTTTTTCTGTGTGTGGATATTGTTTGTTCGTTTGGTATTTCTTGTTTTTTTTTTTTTTTGGCTGGGAAGTTGGTTATATCCAGTCGTGTTTCCTGCGCAGGTTTAGCCTTTTAGCTTTGGCCTGCGCCTCGCCTTCGAATGGCTGCTGCCGGCCCTGGAGTTGGAGGTGGTGGCTGTAGTGTTGCTGCAGTTGGTGGAAGTTGATGCCGGACTGATGGGCGGTGGCATTCCCAGCGGGTGCGGCAACGGCAGCGTCGGCAGCGCCAACTCCTCCACTTATTCCAGCTGCTCTAAAAAATTGGGCGACTTGAAGTACTCTGGCACCGGATCGTCCATTCGCGAGATGATCTTGTATATGGACTTCTTCCATGACTGCTCGGTGTCTTTGCCACCCTGTATTGCACGGAAGAACTCCCGCAGAGTCGATTCGACCACGAAGCGGAAATTCTGGGGTACCTGTGGACCGATTTGTTCTCGATTAGCGACTGGCTCCCAAAGGGGTTTCTCTTGGTCATCTGGTTAGTGGTTTTTCGGTTCTAACGCTCGCATCCACACACACTGTTATTGATTTCTTATAATTTTTTCTTTATTTGGAAACTGAGAGTGTGTGTGCATGTAGAGTCGATTGACGGGTTAGTGTTAGTGGGCTAGTGTTAGTGTTAGTGGGTGTGTGGGCGTGGTTATTGGCATACCTCAATGTGGTTATTGCGATTGTAGTGCAAATTGAGCACGCGATACAATTCACTATCTCCAGCAATCAACAGATCATCGGGTGTCTTGATGCCTTCGGTGACAGCTTGTCGTGCATATTTCTCCATTTGTATGTAGTAGAATTCTCTGCAGATGCGTAGATGAGGAATGTTTGGTTTGGTCAGTATTCTGGTTGTTTTTTTTTTTAATCTATTCTATTTATATTTTTTGTTCAGCATTCAAATTTACAAAATCGCAACGCAAATAAAACAATAATCAAGGTTCGAACCGGGGCACGAGGTGGGAAAGAAATCAAAGGAGGAACGTCGTAAAGTGGTAAACCAAATTCAAAGGAAATCGCTAATGCTTCGCTCGTTCGCTCTCTCTCTCTCACTCACTCATTCACTCAGTCAGGCTATCTCTCTCACACTTTTCCTAGGGGGTCCCTTAATGCATTATATTGGATAGCTGTTTGAGTATGACATTATTAATAATTCGCTGCATACTCTTAGGCGCGTCGTGTACGTGTGTATGTGTCTCAGTGTGTATGTGTGTGCGAGTGTGTAAAGAATTTTTAATAAATCTCAAATGTGCAGCAGCAGCTCGTGGTGGTGCAATAACAATTGCAAGTCGAGGCGGCATCTTCTAGCTGCGGTTTTTTTTTTGTATCCCTGGACTGCCTTGGGGGTTGGGGATTTAATTAGCAAGTGCAGCGGGCTTCTGCTGCTACTGCTGCGCCGCCTTGTTTAGTCAAGTGATTTGTGTGTGGGCTGCCATTCGCAGGGGGATACGACGAGGATGTGGCAGGGGGATAGGACTGGGGGATATATGCTTTACTTGGCAACTGTAAGTGATTGCTTGTCTTCCGGCCTGACTGCCTCTGCTCTTCCTCTCTCTTCCTCTCTCTTCATCTCTTCTCATCTCACGGATCCTGCATTGTCTGCCGCGCACTAATTGTTGTCTTTTTGCTGGGAATCCTTTGGAGTATGCCCCCTCTTCTCTTCGATTCCCTTTGCCCCCGCTCTCCTTCTCGACAACGCTCCGATAATCGCGCTAATTTCAAGATTTCCCAGTAGCAGCGCCAAATGCATTTCTCATGTTGTGCCACAGCGCTCGTGTTGATTTTCCAAACAATAAGCGCAGAATGCGCAAATAGAAAATCTTTTCCTTTTCTGCCTACTCTCTACCCATCAGCCCATTTCCGCGCCCCCCTTTTTACAGGCTCCCCGGAGGCGGTGGCACTTGAACAGCGGGAGCGGTGGGTTGGTGGATGGGTTTCGGATGGCTTCATAATGAGGCTGATGGCTTGGCCTGGCCGAAAGAAAGGAATCGCTGTGTGACAGTTTTGTGTGACAGTTCATTGTGCCGGGTGTCCATAGTTATTAGGGATTGCCAGGATCTCAACCCCGCTCCGTTTGTTTCGTTTTGGTTTGGTTTGAATTGCAATTAGCTTTGTGGCTGGCGTGAAAAGGAGCTTGAGGCGATCCTTATGCAACCAACCACATGTGGCAGGAAAAGGAAGCTTGGCTTGGCGGTTTCAAATGCGCCACTTAATTTAGATAATAAGCTGTGCAAGTGGAACTGCAGATGTGCAGATGCAAATGGCGTTGGGGCTTGACGGAAGTGCTAATTAGTTTGCATATAATATTTCGTAGCCTATTTATTTGGGCCTCACCCACACACACGCACAGGGAAAGAGAGGTAAAGAGAGATAATCCAAGAGAACGAGAGAGAGTCAGAGCCACTAAAACACTTGTTGAAAGGCAGGCAGGCGTTGCTTTGTCAAGTGCATTCATCGTCTCTCACCCACACCGATTTCTCTCTCCTTCTACCTCTCTCTTCCCTTGAATGTGTGCGTGCCAGTGTGCTTTTGTGTGCATTATTGTTCGTCTGTGTAAGTGTTTGTGTGTGTGTGTGTGTGTGTGCGTATGTCTCCTTCTTCGCTGCACCTTCTTCTTCTTCTTCATCACTTCCTCCGCAATAAATTACGTATCACGGATTACGGTTACGAATACGAATACGAACGAGTAGAATGTTATTAATAAGCTCACACATACTCACCCACACATATGCAGACATCTCTACCTCATACATTAATGAAGTAATTGGCAACACTTTTGCATTGTATCTATATATAAGCATCTGTACAAGTCATATACGTCTATATACATATACAGAATGGAGAGTGTAACGTATCTGAGTGTCTGTCTGTATGTGGTATGTGTGGGTGGGTGTGTGTGAATTTTTATATAAAATGTTGTTGTTTTTGTTGTCAGCAAGATCTTTTCACGCGACGAAGGAGAGGGCAGATGGAATGAGGGAAAGCTGGGAAGCTGCTCTAAGCGCCAAAAGGACACTTAACCTCAAAAAAAGGAAAGCGGCTCGATGAGAAACAAAACACGGAAAAAGAACAGCGGTATATACATATGTGTGTGAGTATGTAAGTGAGTGGGTGTGTGTATGTGTGAGTATCCTTGAGCGCCTTTTGCCAGTAGGGCCCTGGCCATTGTGCTCGAAACTCTCAAGTAGCTGCCGCCATGAAAAGCGGCCAAAGAAACCCACTGAATGTATCCTGGCAAACAAACTAATTAGCCCGCCAGGAGTCTGAGTGTCTGTGTGTGCGGGTGTATATGTGAATGCATGTCCTTTCCCGCTTTCTTTTCATTATTTGCATTTTGGCGAGCACAAAAAGAAGTTACTGCAGCTAATGCAATTATATAAGTGGCCTGCTTGAGGACCTCGAACAAAAGGCACTTTTGTTAATTAGCCAACACACACACACACATGTGTGTTCCAAGTGGGGAGTAGGGGAGTATATGTGTTTGTGGGGTGGGGCCCACTTAAGTAGGCAACACTTTTTAATATGCCAGCGCCACAAGTTTCTTGGCCTCGCTCTCCGCTATTCTCACACTTGACTCTTCAGCTCAAGTGGCAGCTCATCATCGTGACGCTCATCCTCCGGATTCTCGAAACTTATCTTCAACGGAGTCCTAAATGGGGGGCCTAACCCCTTGCATTTTTCTTAAGTGGCCACTTTAAGCAACATGTTATTAGAGCACTCAGCCCCTGTAGTATCTGTGATGGTTCTGTGTTTTTTTCTGTGTGTCTGTGAGTGTGGGAAACTCATATTATTAACTAGTGGCTAAGAGAGAGCAAAAAGCGGTTACAAATATTCATTTCCTAGGTTAATTTAGGGGGAAAACGTTTAAGAGGGAAAGCAATTTCCCAGAGAACAAAAGCAAACCGAAATCTAACTTAAGAACTCAACATGAGAAAATAACGCAAAAGAAATCGTTACATCCTACTTTAAGCTACCCCTCAGATCTAAGGAAACGGAAACAAACAATCGAGAACCAGTTAGGAAATCAAAAAATATTCCCACCCATTTTAACCTCTCACCAAAGAAGTCGAAGTCGATGGTAAAGACAAGATGCCAACTCCCCGTTTCCCATGCAAAGTAGGTTTAGGGTTTATGCCGAAAAGGGATTGCAACCCCAAGAAATTCCGATAAACTAACTTACGATGAACAAACCCCGAGCGTGCCGGGTCTTGATTTGTTGTCTTTTGTGTTGCTTGTGCGCAGGTAGGGGAATTTCTTAGGGTGTCTCGCGAACAATTCCTTAAGACGTTGCGCATGTCTTAGACAAATCGGAGACGGGCAGCTGCTAAGCCGGTGATGAAAGAGGGTTGGAAGGTAAATCCAGGTGAGACCTTGTGCCACGCTCTGTTTTCTTTTGCCTTTCGTTTTTTTTTCTTCTTTTCGGGGCGGACAGATGCGGCCCGGATTTGGCGCGCAAATCACTGCGACTGCATGCGGGCCTACCTCACTTCACTTTAGTTTTGTACCATTGAGAATGATACACTCCTTACCCCGGAATAACCCATACTCATACCCGGAGTATCTGGCAGCTGTCGTTTTTACGTAGTCTTTGTGCTCTTTTTGGCAACTTCTTGCGCAATTTCATCGGACTGACAGTTGGAGTCGCGGAATGACAGCCGTATGGTGTTGCATGTCTCTGCGCCTACTTCTTGAGTGCAAGTCGACGGTTTTCGACAGGTGGCAGTCTCATTTTTGGCCAATCAATTTGTTACCAAAATCCCCATCCCAATCCTCATAAAAACTTAAAACCTTCAAAACTCAGGCGACGTAACGAAATCATAAAAATGAATGCTGCTGAATGGTTATATATATATATATATATTGGCTTAAGTCTATGATTGTTAATTGTACAACTTACCGGAAGTTCGAGAACCATTTCACCAATTGTGCTGTGTTGTTCTTGTTGAACTTGATGTCCGGGAAGTACATCTTGAGCACCGCGGAGCTGGGATAGCGCACCCAGAAGAACATCAGCTTGGCCTTGCGCAGGTGCATCGGTGTCAATGTAGAAGAGTGCAAAGGAGTCAAGGATTCGCAATGTCTGGTGGTGTTATAGATATATATGGTATATGTATGAGATATGTGTTGGATGGATGGATGGTCGATTGTCTTTCCAAATTTCCATGTTCGTGTGTCGCAGAGCGAGAGAGAGATATTCGATTGGATTGGCAATGTCTAACGTGGCTGCACTTTCGAGTGCCAATAATGAATGTCTAAGGGTGCCACCGCCCAGGCCCCCAAGCTTTTACCTCCTTCAACCCACTGATTGAAAAAGCTGAGCTGGAAATCGGAATGGGAATCGGAATCGGAAAGGGTATGGATATGGGAATGGGGGAATAGTAAGAGGCCAACGAGTGCAGCTCTTTCGATTGGCTGCTCGTCATTGATTTTTTCCATTTCTGTGGCTGTTGCGAAATGCAACTCAAGCCAGGCCAAGTCGATGATGATGATGACTTGAGGGTCTTTGGGGGTTTAAGTGTGCGGCGGGGCAATAAATAAGGTTTTGATTACATTTTATAAAAGAATTTAGTTGGGAAATAAATAAACTGAAGAAGACACTTGATTGGTTTCGTTTTGTAAGCGAGATCCGGGTCGGGTTAAGTACCTTGCCCCATTCCTTTCTACTGTACTACTATACTATATCCCCCAAGCCCCATCTTTCTCTTAATCTTTCTCTTTCTCTGTTGCACACGGTGGACTAGGTGGAAACTCACTTGGCCATCAGCGACTCCTGGTGTTCTGTGTTTAGTTGCATTTGCTTGTAAAAGGATATAGTAGGAGCCATGCCATCGAACTGCATGTCGGCCGAGTTGCACTCGGACTGGCGATCCTGGGCGTCCATGACAGCCCGCAGGCAGGTCTTGTAGTCGGGCGATCCGCCGTGATGAGCGGCGGCCAGCAGGGCGGGATGAAGCATCGACGGCGGGTGGGGCAGCGGCGGTGAGTCGCGGGAATCCATCAGAGCGCCCAAGCTGCCCGGCGGACTCGAGGACAACTGCATGGGTTGGTGGTGCGGGTGGTGCTGTTGGTGGTGCTGATGCAGTTGGGCGGCCGTTGGTTGACCAGCGGCTGCATGCGGATTGAAGAACGGCGAGTATGGCGAGAAGACCTTGGACTCGTGCAGCGAGGGATTAGGAATGGCCACGGAGGTGGGCAAGGACACGGGCATCATGGGTGGTGGTGGTGGTGGCGGTTGCGGATGGTATGCAGCTCCTCCACTGCTCCTCGTTGGACTCTGGGCGGGCGTGGCATTGCTATTGCCGACATTCGGCGCCTGTTGCTGCTGTTGTTGCTGTTGCTGCTGTTGCTGCTGCTGCTGTTGTTGCTGCTGCTGAGGGGTAGTCGGTGGTCCTCCAGTGGGTGGCACTACGCCATCCTGGGCCAGGATACGGCTGACGGTGCGCGGCGTGATGCGTGTGTCCGTCACCTTATGGCGCTTCTTCTTTGGAGTCACCACCAGGCTGAGGGCCTCGTTCTGCTCCAGCTGCTGCTGCGTCTGTTGTGAACTTTGCTGCTGCTGCTGCTGGGCGGACTGTTGCTGTTGGGCGGTCTGTTGCTGCTGCTGATCGGGCGGCAGGCAGAAGGGTCCGGTCATCGAGTTGTAGAGCGCGGCGGCGGCCACTGGATTCATGCCCTGAGGCGTTTTGGGCGCCTGGAACATGGCAGCCGCTGTGGGCGAAGGACGAATGTGAGGAGGCGGTATATTAAGGGTACTTAAGCTATTGTTAGTGGGGTTGGCTGGCCCGTTGTTTTGGTTAGTATTTGCGCCGGGATCCCCCGACTGTTGCTGCTGCTGCTGCTGCTGCTGGGCGGACATAGCTGCTGCGGCGGCCGCATGATGCATCTGCAGACCCATTGCAGCGGCTGCAGCAGCGGCGGGCGAGGCGAAGGATAACTGACTGCCATTTAGGCGAGGGGCGGAGATCAGCTGTTGACAGTTGGGAGGCAACAAAGGATGCGATTGCTGCTGCTGTTGGTGCTGCATATGCTGTTGTTGCGCCACATTCTGTTGCTGCGCTTGCTGCTGTTGTTGCTGCTGTTGCGAGCTCTGATGTTGCTGCTGAGCATTCTGCTGCTGTTGCTGCTGCGCACTCGACCCATTCGCGGGCGTTTGGGAGGGCATTTGACTATTAGCTAGGAGTAGTGAACCATTATTACCTGATTGTGTTGCGGGCGTGGGTCCGTTCTGGGGCCTATCCGCTACTTTGGTGCGCGGTGACTTCCGGTCGAGGATCTGCGAAGCCAGCAGCAGGTCCTTGTTTAGTTGTTCGGCCGCTGCAGTCACAGAGTCCGCCTGTTTGCTGAACAGCCGCCTTTGGTGGACGAAACGGGTCACAATGGTGTCCACCAGAGCGGACAGCGAGGTGGTGATTTCAGACTTGAGCACATCGGCTAGTCCTTCCAAGTCCGTGCCCGACATGCGCATCATTGAGCTATTGTTGTTCGCGCGCAGCATTTGGAACTTTTCGGACAGCTCGGACTTGAGGGCGGTGTGGGCAGCTGCCCCGCCCATTCGTGTGGGTAGACGAGCGGGCGCTGGGTGGTGCATTTGCGGCCTTGGCGCCGCGGTGGCCACATGTTGCTGCTCCATTTGCTGTTGCTGCAACTGTTGCAAGTGCTGCTGTTGACGTTGGATCTGCTGTTGTTGCTCCTCCTTGCGTCGCTGTTGTTCTTGTTGTTCCTGCTCGAAGCGTCTGCTGTGTTCTTGTTGTTGTTGCTGCTGCTGCTGTTGTTGTTGCTGCTGCTGTTGCTGTTGTTGTTGCTCGGCCGCTTCCTTGGCCATACGAGCCTCCTGCTCGAAGAAGAACTGTTGGTACATGGCGGCCGCATGCGACATATCGCCCATATGCTGTAGAAGGGGTGGGAATCCTTGGGGAAGGGCTGGATGACCTACGCCCACTAGTGGATTGTGCAACTTGCCGGACATCATCTTACTCATCATTTGGGACAGCATGTTGGCTCCCGAGTCAGTGTTTTCGCCCAGAGTTGTCTTGGGCTTCAGAGGAGATGGTGAGGGGGAACTGGAACCAGGTCGTTCTTGTCCTGGTTCATCCTTGTGGGCAGGGCTCACATCACCGTCTCCGGTTAAAGTTGGCGAGGGCGACAGCTCGATGTGATCACTGCTGCCATTATCGGGTTCCTGTTCCTGCTCCGCATCCTGTTCCTGGTCAAGTTCTTGGCACTCGGATTCTTGCTCCATTCGCGAGCACAGCTGCACGTATTTCTGTTGCATCTCTGCCAACTGCTCCTGCATGGATCTGAGCTGCGACTTGAGGGCATTTTTCTCAACACGCTTTTGTTGGATTTGCGGGGACTCCAGCTCATTGGATTCGCTGTCATCCTGGTCGAGCATCATGCTCTGCAGATTTAGGCCGAAGTTCAGACCAGCTGCGGCGGCCACATATCGCTCCATGGCGTGTTGCTGAGGTTGGTAGAGCTTGCGTTTCTTGCAGCCATTCACCTGGAGTTGTCCTGCTTGCACCAATCCGGAGGATGGACTACATCTCATTCCCGAGACAATGTTCTCTACTCGAGCACGTTTCAAATCCATACCGGGTTTTTTGAGACTGCCACTGCTAGAATCTCTTTTCTGCTCCACGCAATCATCGTCGTCATCATCATCCAAGACATCGTCCTTGCTGTTGTCGAGCAGCATCATGTCGGAGTGGCTTGGCGAGGCAAGGCTATCGAGATCAGATCCACGGGAATGAAGTCCTAATAGTTCCACCTCATCCAGCATGTCGTCCACTGTTTCTTTTTTGGTGGGCAACTGTGGTACCTCCGGAGCACGGCTCTCGGATCGCTGGCCATTGGCCGTGGTATCTTCCTCGTCCTGCGCATCATCTTGGGCTCCGTGGCTATCCAGAGAGTCGGAGGACTTGCGTCGCAAACTACCATCGCTGGCCAGGCTGCTGTGACTTCCAGTTCCACTCCCACTCCGGCTGCTATGGCTACTTCCATGCGGTGATTGCTGTGGAGGCGGAGCCGTCAGGGGCTCACTCTTAATCTTGATTTCCGTCATTTCCGATTCGTCGATCAGATTGATGCTCTCCATGGTGTTGTTATTATTGTTGGTGGTGGCAGCAATATTGTTGTTATTATTATTGTTGAGCTTGGAGTGGAGCTGTTCCTTCTCCTGCAGTTGCTGTTGCTGCTGCTGCATGGCAGTGCGCAGTTCTTGATCCAATTGCATCAGCTCCTTCTTGCCCTGCAGAATATTGCGCAGCATGTGATGGGCCACCAGATCGTGTTGCAGTTGCGATTGGTGCTGCTCTCCACTGCTAGCTCCACCATTCAGCGAACTTACCGATGCTGCTCGTGGTGGTGAGCCACCGGCAACATCAGCAGCTGCCGCCTCCAAGGATCGATCACTGCAGGCGGAAACACGTCGACTACCTTTCGGTGAGACGCCCTGATGCGAGTGACTGGAACTGTGGGCCGATCCTGGCGAGATCGAGGCATTTGTGCCATTACTCAACGGTGTATTGTTCGCGGGAGCAATGCTGTTGTTATTGTGCTGCTGCTGAAGCAACTTGGACGTGGAATTGAGACTGCCGATCAGTAATTCGGCACTGGTTGCCGTCTCCATGGCGGCGGCCAGCATGGCGTTGTCCAAACTTTGGGGCAGGCCACTCGTTGCGTCCTGGGCCTGCTTCATTTGACGGCCAAAAAGCTCGTTCAGCATCTTGGCCGAGGAGCCACCAAACAGGTTGCCAAATGCGGCCGTCAACAAGGACGAGGCCGAACTGGCGCCCGAAACTGGTGAATTGCTGGTGGGCGAGTGGGTGGCAGCAGCAGCCGGTGTATTTGAATTATTATTATTGGCCGTGCTGACCGATTGTGGTTGGAACAGGGCTCCTCCACCAGCGGCACCCGCAGCAGCCGCGGCAGCGCTACTCATGAAGCCAGCAGCGGTTGCCGTTGCTCCGCCGTTGCAGCTATTGTTGCTACTATTGCTATTGCTATTAATGCTCTGTTGCTGACTGTTAATGTCTTTGCTCAAGGATCTTTGACGCGAACGACGATTCACTTTACTATTCGCGTTTCCGTTTCCGCTACCGTTTGAATTCACGTTCACGTTCGAGTTTACGTTCGAGCTTAAGTTCGAGTTCTTGGCTATTGGCGTGGGCGCTTGTGTTGAGGTTGGTTTTTTAGCCGCGCACGTTGTTGTCTTGCCGACGGCCGTTGAATGACTGATTTGCCGACTACTGCGGGCACTGCGATGACTGCGACTGCCGCCACTGCGATTACAATGGTTCGCGTTCGCCGTCGTCGTCGTCGTCGTCGCCGTGGCCGTTGCCTTGTGGTTGTTGCTGCTGGCGTTGCTGTTGCTGCCGCTGCTATTGCTGTTGTTGCTGCTATTGCTGTTGCTGCTGCTGCTGGCGTTGCCTTCGCAGCCTTCGAGCACAACCACGACGTCGTCGTCGGAATCGTTGGATTCGGCTTCCTCTTCGTTGGCTTTCTCCTTTGCCTTCTCTCTCTCTTGCTCCTTGTCTGCGTCTGTATTGGTGTTGCCGCTGTTGCTGCTTGTAATGGTATTAGTCTTGGTACTCTCGCCGCAATTCGCCGCGATGCCGTCGCCGTTGATTTGTATGGGTATTGGTGACGTGTGACCGTTGCTGTTCGGCGGTGGTTGCTGGTGTTGCTGATGTTGCTGCTGTTGCTGTTGCTTGACGGCGATTGTCTCCGGCTCGGTTGCCTTCAGCAGCACGTTGTTCTCATCGCTGTACAAACCAAAACAGTCCGCCTCGTACTCCTCTGATGACATCATAAGATGATGCCCACCAGCAGCAGCAGTTCTCTCGCCTCGCGTTTCTCAGCTCTCAGATGCTTTCCCTGCCGCTTACTCTGCCTTCCCCTCAGCAACCCTCTTTCACCCTCTCCGCTTCTTGGGATTGGCTGGATTTTCTCTAAATTTTCCCCTTCGTTTCTGGCAAAGAGAGAGAGATAGAGAGAGCAAGAATTCGCCGCGGCGTATGCGTGATTTCAAGTTTAAGTCCTGGCTGTGGCTTTTCTTTGGACCGCTTTCTAAGCTTAAGTGTATCCTTGTCCGTATGTGAGTCCTAGTCCGTGTGAGAAAAAGAAGGGGTTATCGATGTGTGCTGCGCTTTCAAAACCGCTCGCTCCTGCAATCCTGGCTGCCTGGCCGCGATGTCCTTGCTGCTGTTTGCTGCTGTGTTGTAGTGCGCCAAACGTTGAAATTTTGCTGTCGCCCAACTTATTTTTTTGGTCGAAATGTTCCAGTTCAAAATTCTTCCCGCTGTTGACAGTTGGTTGCTGCTGTTGCTGCTGGCACTTTTGATTTTGTGTCTGCGTTTTCTACGTTTTTTCCTGCGTTTTCTAATTGTGAATTTTGTTTTGAATTTTCTTTCCACCACCACACACATGCGAATGTCCTTTGCATTTAATTTTATTTAGATTTGATTTGTATTTCCCTTCTTTTAACTCCCGTTCACGTCCTCTAGGTATGTTCTGCTCCTTTCCAGTTTGGTTTGTTGGTTTCGCTTTGATTTTATTCTCAAAAGTGTGTTTTCGATGCTTTGACCGAAAACTTGCGAATGAATTTTAAGATTTTTTCTTTCGTTTTTCGTTTTTGTCGTTTTAGGTTTCTTTTTTAGGTGTTTTGGCTTGGTTTTCGTTTTAATAATCCTTGCTTGCGCTCAAAAAATCTTTCTGTAAAATTAATGGGAGGCATAAGTTGGAATATCTGCTGTGGAAAATATATGCGACTGAGAGTGGGCGACTGTTTAAATGGAAAGTAAAAGTGGCTGGCCAAAAGCTTCTGGTTTGGGTGGCCACTTGATTGGTGCTCGGTTTGGGGCTGTCCAGGGGATGGCTGTTAGATCCTATGAGGCTGTGTAGAGGGTGGGTGGGTGTTTCAGGGTGGTGTCCTTAATTCAGCACAAGCTAACAACCCTCCCACCCGAGACAGGTTTTTATCTAATTTCTCCACTTGAGCTTATATTCTCTGTTCGACGGCTTGTGTGTGTGTAAATTTGATTGGGAGTGTGAGTCAGTGTGTTTACCCGCCCCTTTCTGTTTTTGTACAAAATAAAGATAAGTCACTTCGTTTTTGCTGATAAACAAGTTTGACTTACTTTTCTCTGCCACAGATACAGATACAGACACGTAGATACTTTGCATATGGCCATGGGTCGACTGCGTAAGCACTCGAAATAATCAATATGGGGACTTTGGAACTCACCAAATGCGTCAAAGCATCGACTATCGATCAGACTTAGTATGTGTATCTTAAATGGTCATATGTGAGTCGTTAGTGTCTAGGGGCCATATGCATTTCCCAAGAACTATCAAACAGAATCCTCCCCTTTGGCAGGCCGAGGGTTTTCGACTTTCGGGCCCTTCGATTTCAATTGCGAGTGCAATGGAATGCAGCCCGTAGGCTCAAGTCAATGTCAATGGAAGCCACCCCTCCGTTCTTCGATCCTTATTTACTTTTGTTTTGGGCAACTGTACTTTCTCGAGCCTGCAGCTTGCAAGGACAACCCGGAGGGACAAGAACGAACGTAAAGAGGGTGAAGAGGTAAGGGGACAGAAGCAGGATCAGGAACAGCCACCCCTATGAAGGACTTATTAAGTTGGGCTTGGTCTAGAGAAGGGCAACGGAATTCCAATGCACAGCAGATCGAGATATTGAAATTGTCAAAAATTACCACAAACAAAGCGTTATTTTTCTCTGTCGTCCATCATAGATCCTCCTGAAATAGAAAAATATATAAGATACATTAATTAAACGGAAAAAACACTTTAAAGTTAGTAGGAATGAATCTGAAGTGATAACGACTATAATAAATATTTCAATTTAAAATATTTACAAAATATATCTTAAATTATTACAACATACTAACATATAGTAATTCTTAGTCCCTTAGTCTTTATTTTACAACCTGATAGATAGATTTAGCACACGTGCCCGTATGCTTAAGTCTAAGAAAACTACCTAATTGCCTCATTATGTTTACAACCTTTTCTTGAGGAACGCTTTCTTTAGATACTTTTCGATTGCTGCAATAGACAGTTGGCATTTCCAAGTTCAATGCACCTCGAGATATGGGTTTGGGTTGGTTTTAGTCTAGGACCATTATCAATAGGCCCTTCTAACTTCAACCCCGCAAGGAGTGCAAAGAGGGCAACATATGGCCCCGGCCCAGGAGAAGAAAGGAGAACAAGGAGCAAAGAAAGTTGCCAGCTGAGGCGAACTTCCACCTACAAACGGCAGCGCAGATAATTACGACCTTAACACATTTTCCGTTCATGTTCCGATGGAAAACGCTGGCTTCGGATACTTTGCATGCGCTGGAAATGAGGGGAGGCGCCGGTTTTTTTTTTGGTAGAGGGGCATTTACGTGTATCTCAAAGTGTGCTTTGGAATGTGCCTTCACAGATCGCGGCACACGGTAATGTACTCATCGCACAAACGACCAAAGTGTGGCACGGCCATGTGTTCTGCATATATATACGTAGCTTCTCCATATCCCTCTCCTTGTCGTGGTCGGGTGTCATCATTAAAATATGCTTTGGCTCATAAAAGGGCCCACGGGGTTGGGGTGTCATTGTGTTACGGTCAAGTGACTCTAAAATCCGTTAAAACAAAAAAATATTGTCCCAAAATGAAACTAGTGGCAATTAGGCATTATGATTCCCCTTCAAAGATCCATTTTGCCAAACTAAACAACAATCTGTCGAGCTGAGATTCGCTGGAAATGGAAAATGAGTAAATGGTGGGGGAAATCACGGAGAGCAATGCGAAACCGGGTCCGAATCTGCAGCCCCTATGCCAAATACGGATGCGGAAGGAAGCGATCGCCGCAGCCAACAGCTGATGATCGCAAGCGATTGCTTGGAAGCAAGGGGAGATTCGATACACTGAGGATAATTTGAGGATCAAATTAATATTTCGATTTAGGATATATTCATTTGAAGGGTCCTTAGGTCTTAAAATAGTAATTGATCTTGATGATGTTTAAACTATAACTTAAAATTCTTCAATTTAAAGTAAAAGTGTAAGAAAGGTTTGAGAAAACTACAAATTTATTTTTTGAATTTAAGTAACATTTCAAAGCACCTAGTTTTTTTCTTAAGTTTAAGGGTGATGGTTATGGCACGTACTTGGCAGCCACGAGCTGCAAACGATGATCGGAGCACACCTGGACTCCCTGTCTATGCCTCAATGCGCGTGCGCACAAGCTGGCGATCGCTTGAGGAAGGAGTTGGAGGTGGAGGACGAGGAAGAGGAGCAGGGGTAGTGGCAGACGCAGAAGGAAGCCAGGCAGACGAAACCAAGGGGCGTGCTTGGTGGTGGCATTTGACATCCATCCAAACAAGAACCGATTTTTACCTGATCCCACATTGCTATTTGCCTAACGGGTGGTGCGGAAGTCGTCCAAAGTCGACGACATCAATAAAGTTCAGAAACACCTTTCAACTTGCTTTGGCATTCATTGCCAATGCAGTTGCAGCTCGCCAGCATGCCAGCTCTAATCCTGCCACAAACACATTAAAATTATGTTGCCGCAAAGTTTGCTGGCAGTCGTTTCCACGAGAATTGGCAGCAACTATGTGAAGTGAATTGTGCTAAAAGAAAATGTCCTTCTCTGCCTTCTCCAGTCGCTGTCTCAAACAGGGATTTTATGTGAAAACTTTTCTCGGAACTTGCCAAAAGGTCTCTCTCTGTGGTGGGATTGCAATGCAGTAAACTCGAATTATTATGATGTCAGAGCCCAGTCTCAGTTATTGTTATGGCCATTGCTGGATTTCGGTGCCCAGACCTGGAGGATGGGGTGCACGCTCCTTGGCTAATGCCCCGACTACCAGATAAGATACAGATACTAGTACATGGAAAAACTCTCACAGATATCGGCGTTTGGTCGCCATATGGTCGGCCATAGATACGACATCCATGCGATACTTTCGAGTGGAGCCCGGCAAGGTTTTCCTACTGCACTTAGTCGGCTAGAAGTAGGTTGCCTGGAATTTTCTCGTTGATTTTTTTTTTGAAAGGGGTATTTTCAATTTGAGGGAGGATTTGGTTGAAGATTTTGACGGTTTGACAAAAAGAAATGATTATAAACTAAACTATGCTATGGTTCTTGAAATAGGATGTTCAAAAGTTACAATTTTAAGAATTATGATTTATGATTTATGAATTTAAAAATAATACTGAGATATGCTCAATAAATTGTATTAATTTATAATCAACAATTTAAAAGATATAAGTTTTCTATAAATGTGATTTACAAGGAACTGCAGATTGGAACCCAAAAATTCCTGGGTATCCTTATGGTCTCCACTGAACTCAAAGTTCTTGTCCTGCGGATGTTTTCAGACATAAGCACATTTTGTGGTCGCTGTTTGTCGTGGCTGCGTTGTTGGCTTTTATTGTCTTTCAGCGCTTGATTAGATACCACATACACACTCGTACATTCACAGCCTGGGATACTACGGATATACGGATATAGACACGAGCGCGTCGAGATACAGATACTGATACAGATACTAGTGTACTAGCGTATTCGGGCCAGGCACGCAATGGCAGCCAGAAAATGGCCATATGTGGCCAAGTCGGCTCCCACTGCTCATTTTTCTGACTTTTGTTTGGACAGTGGTCGCTGGTTGCTCGTTCGACTTTGAGGCTTTTCCACCTCCTTCTGCCCTTCGCTGGGCTTTTGTCCAACCTGCAAGCCTGCACCTGCACCTGCCACCCACTCTGCCCACTCCAGGCCACTTCCCCACATTCGTGTCTAGCGCTTATCGCGCTTTTGATATCAAAAAAAAAAAAAAAAAAAAAAAAGAAAAGGAACAGGGGGAAATGCATGCCTAACGTGTGTCCTTTTGCTTCGCCTATCTATGCAGATATCTTTCTCTGTCTCTGTGTGGGTGTTTAAGGTAGGAAAGGGTGGGGGAAGGGGGCTTGGAAAGAGGAGCTCGGGCATTAAAAACATTTTCATTGTAATCAAGCGTACTTTCTTTTATTATTATTATTTTGCCTCTCTTTCCGGCACTAACGACGCAAATTACTCAAATGTATCTGGCAGATACTTTTTGTTTTCCGCCTCGATGTCGTTCGTGTATCTATCTGTCGCTACCCGTCTCTGTCTAGAGCTGCTCGTATATTATTTATTGATCGCGATAAGCGTCACGAAGCCAATTTCAAGCGTTAGCCAAATGATACTTGCCCCATGCTCCTCCTCCGGGCTCTTAATCGTAAGTGCTTTTTGCACTCGCTTCCAACTAATTTGTGTACAGTCCCGTCAAGCGATGAAAGTTCTAGTACTCGTAGTTACCTCAATTCAAGTTTCAACAGTCCCGATCCCAGTGATTTTTCCCCCCCCTTAACATCCGCTTTGGTGCGTGGCAGTAACCCTCCTTTCGGTGCATTATTAACGTTGCAATCAAAGGTAGACCCGTGCAGCTGGCAGATGTCGGGAGTTCTTTTTTCCAAATAAGTCATCCCCTCGAACGTCTTAAAGACGCTCTGGGAAACCAACTGTCGTCGATCGTCGGCCGTTACATTCAGAGTTTTTCCTTAAGGGTTCGGGGTCTACATGGAGTGGGGGTATGGGCTATGGGCTATGGGCTGTGTTGTCCTGGGTCTGGCGTGTGCTGTATGGGCATAGAGCGTAAACGGTGTCTCAAAAGTCACTCAGTGGAACTTTAAGGTTTTCCACCTATTTGGGCCGGCTGCCTTTTGGGCTTCGTAACGTATTTCTTGGCCCTCATCCTCAGAATATGTTGAAGTAGGAGTGGGTGAGAGGTTGAAGTTTAGAGGTTGGAGTAAGAGAATAACTTTGACACGCAATGTCGTTTCGGCTCCAAATGCGACGCCTCCAAAGTTGCTTGAATAATTCAATTTTTCGTGTGTCCAGCGCGTAATGTGTCCATTTAGCCGGTAGTCATTACGAGACGCACATGAGCAGGCATAAACACTTCCTTCCTTCGCATTCCACCCACCTGGCGAAGTGGAGGGAGAGATAGTTCCTTAACAAAACGCCTCCTCCTCGGAGACCAGCTGGGGAATTTTCTGTATTTTTGGGGGGTGTGGGTGGTACCGGTGGTTGACTTATTTTTATGACAAATGCGAGATATGTTAATGCGATAGGCTGGCGGTTATTAAGGAAATTACCCACACATGGCGGAGTCCTGCGGGCCGGAGTCCTTGAGCCGCATACAAATATTTGAAGTTTCAATTTCAGCGTGAGCGCTGGCATTAATAGGATACATGTACATATACTGCGACCGGAGAAATGACTTCATGTCATGGCTTGAGATAATTAGAGGTTGTACACGGGACTACCTTTTAGTTTATCTTGTGGTCCTGTTAAGTTTTTTTTTTTTTTTTGCCAAAGGATTCGACGAGGAGCGGGGGCTGCGAAGGTGGCTCTGATTGCATGTCCAGAGCCTTGGACGGCACTTGGGTGTCGTTTGCCCCGCCGTAGTGACTAACCTGGGACTCGGTACCCGGTTCCCTCGGCTCCGGACACCAAAGCGGCTGAGTCATCCAGTTTGCCTCGTTCGCCGACACACACTCGGGCTAAATTTATTTAAATTCATCTGCGTATCAACAAATTGATTGTATTTAATTCAATTGAACCCATGCAAAGAGCCCAAGAGCCAAGTGGGGGGTCACTATCGAGCAAGTTTTCGAGGCATCTCCGAGGCAAATTGACTTGAATAATGAAATTTGCTGCTAATAAAGGCG